AACTATTCTATGATTCTACGATTCTATGACTAGAACCATGCCTACATTTGCAAGTCCCACTTACACTGAGTGGCCTACTTGAGCTAAGTAATACCTTACTCAAGTCTGGAAGAGTCAACAGTAGTTTAGGAAGTCTGAATTGCACTGTGGTTTACTAATACTGTTCATCCTGTTACGAGCACTGAAACAATAATTTTGCTTTTCCTTCCTAAAGGACGTTTTCTTTTCTCTGGATATAGCAGAGAAATCACTAGAAAATGTATGTCATAATATGAGCTAACAAGTGGAACACGTTGTCAAGGTTAGTTTTTCAAATAAGCTTCAGGAGGAGACTCTGACATGAGACCCCCTGACTAACTTCAAATTCTTCATGTATCATGACTTTTTGGGGGAAAAATAATACAAGATTTTTTTTTTAAATATATCTGTAAAAGGTAACACACACGAGCCCTTTGGTGACGTTCCAACCATTACCATGTTTGAAAGCTGCCTTAAAGAAAAAAAGGTTTCCTATTTTCTCTACTGCTTAACAGCTCACTTTTGCATCAACAAAGGCTGCTTCCTCCTCCACAAGCTTCAACAATACATTTTTTATTACATACTTGCCCTACAGCCAGTGTAAACAGGAGAGCCTGCTGTTGAGGAGTAAAGAGGACCACTTGCCTGGTTTCAAATTAAAAACTGAGAAAGATGTGGTGGAACAGCCTAACAAGGAGCACTGTGATGCTCTGGTAACAAATACACCACTCAGCGGCTGACTTATCCATCCCCTCTCCATTTCACTGCCTACATAGTTCCAACACTCTCTAGAAATGGGAGATTTTCCAACTGTTTAGTGGACTGTTTCAAACTGCCATCTTTTCTTGAGCAGGTGAAAATAAATCAACATCTATTATAAGACTGCTTTCAATCTTAATTCTTATGCATTGCTTGTTATCGAGTTACAAAATACCGGAACACTTTCTGTGTTTAAGTTTATTCTGAAGCTTTAACTTATACGAATAAGATTAAAACAGCAATGAGAATCAAAAACTAATGATAAAAGCAATGAAACAAAGTACTTACATTAAACTTAATAATGTCATATATCAAGTACCGAGGGACAACCTGTCCATTAACCTTGTCGATGATCATTTCCTTAAAAGAAAAGAGATGACATTAACATTTATTTCATGAGTACAAAAGAATGTCAACACATTTATTGTGCACATACCTGTAAGTGTGATGCAAACAAACATTGACCACATCTTTATTACAAAAAAGATTTCATAATAGGTCAAGATTAGAAAAATATTATTATTATCTTAAATTTCTCTCATGAAGCTTTCAATAAGAAGCCAGAAAAGTTATACTACGGCTCCACATTCTGGTCTGCAACATTTATACATTAGTTTCCCTACAGCTCTCAAAATTACTAGCTTTATTGAGTGAATAATGAGTTTTCAGAAACCCCAGTAAGAACTGTGATCCTAACCAAGCATTTTTGGAAATCTCACCTAGAGTAAGAAGTACAAACAGCAAGGAATTAAATAACAAGCATTAACATCCAATGCTCAGTTGGATCTTTTCATGTTAAAGGCATCTTAGGCGGTAGTGACAACTGCAATTCGCTTGAATGTTGCATTGTGACAAAACATCAGTGTTCCTTCAAATGGAAATATCACAGATACTATCTGTATCACATGAAATTACTTAACATTCAATATACACCAGTAAACCATCTTGACAATGCATCAGCTGGAAGAAAGCTACTAACGATCAACATCCAAAACAAAAAGTGTTTCCTGAACTTGATGGTACATACAAAAATGCATACATCATATATGCTGGTGCTTACATCTGTAATTCAAGGTTCCTGTGATATGAATAGACATAGCTTATTAGTTGATACACTAATAAAGAATATTTAGTTTCACCTAAATTAGTCATGACTGAAAATGGTAACAATCAACCAACTTGTAGATCTTTTTCAGGGACAACTTTGAAACACTGCCAAACCATACTATGATTTTATGATTTAATTGAACATATATTTAAGGTTTAAGGACTCATTTCCTCAGCATGCATATTCAGAGCTTCAGCCTTGATGCAAAGCTAGCATTTGTATGCAAAACCCTGAAAACATTTCAATGGCTGGTATTACAAGATTTTATGCCTACTTTTCAAAACCTGAATCTCTGGATATTCAGTTTTAGAAGAATTGCATAATACAGCCAAAAGGATCAAGAATGATTTTAAATCTTCTCAGTTTTAATGCAGAATTTATTTTGTAAAGCAAGAAACCTGTTTTCTCCTCTTCAGACACATATAAATCATTTTGAGTCTATCCCTGGTCAAACTAGCCACTTCTCTCACATCCTCACTTCTTTTCTTCCTCTCCTGCCTCTCGTTCTCTTTTCATATCCTGACTGAAATCCCAGCTACCAGAGCAAATAAACAATAGCACAATATGCCTTAGAAGTAGAGATGACAAATTCCTGCGCTGCTCATCTCCATCATGACAACATTCACTGCTCCATTAGTTATGCCAAAAGCTGTAAAGTAGTCAAAAAACCAATTTAGATTAGAAATACTCTAAACTCGTCAGTATTTAACAGTCTGACTTCAGAATCTTCCTTGAAATTATGAGAATTGAAAAATACCTCAGGGAACAGACCTCAGAAGCGAGTTTAGAGGCTGCTGGGAAAATGTAGTAGTTGAAAACTCATCACCCTCAAACTCACTCATTCTAATCTGAGAAATAACGTGATACTATAGGCTATATTTAAACCAAATTTTATATAACTAAAAGTTTAAACCCAGACTCACATGACATGAGAACACAAAAGTATCCGTAAGATACATCTGCATCCATGCGTTTCCTTTTATATACGCCACGCAAAAGTACAGCCACTATTGTGTGTTTTAAAACTACCACTGCTTGTAAGTATGATCTTTACCACTTGTCCATCAGCTGCTAGTTTAGGAATTATCTTAACCTGTAGGCTTGCAGAACAAGATCCAATGGCCGGTTCCTTCAATGTAATCTGGTAAAACTGTGCTGGTGTTAATCTCCTTTTCTTAATCTTCTGGTGCTGCAGGGCATAGTCTTGCAGCATTAGAGCTTTTAGCTGGACAAGCACCAAAAGAACAACACTGGATTGACAGCTCATGGACTTCTTTTCCCCCATTAAATCACATATCTAGCAAGCAACTTGGACTTAAAATAATCCAAAATTTAATCACAAAGCAAAGGATCTCATTTTATGAGCCATTCGCAGAATGTATTTTTTGTCAACACAGACTATGGAATCAGATGTAACCACACATCTGTCCATTGTTGTCTTTTAAAAAAAAACCATACAAAAACACACCAAAACTATTTTGCACAAAGTACCAGCCTTTGCAAACTCAAGAAGTTGAGAGTTATGCCATTTCTGAGAGAGCTTAGAAGTAAGTGAGATCTATACCTATACATAAACATATACATAAATCAATCTCAATCTCGCTCTCCACTTTTGGAGTCCTTGGCCCAAGTCTTCACCGGTGAACAATATTTCATACATAAGTTAAATAAAATATCTACAAAACTGTATTAAAATTGTAAAAAGTATTTCAAGCCCAAGAATGCATCTGTATTTTCTACTCAACTGTTCCAAAGCTAAGCAGAATGCCAAGAAAGTTCCTGCAAATAAGTAATTAGTTTTCTTGCACAACAGCCAAGACACTTGAATAAAAATCTATGCATCCTCTCAGATAGCAGTATGGATGCAAAATACTTGGCTTCTAAAGGAATACTTCGTATTACATTAGTCACTTGTTGATAATATTCAAATTAGCCCTAATAAGCTTTGCCGAAAACTTTCTTCCATGCCAGAAGAACAACCACAGCTGAAGAGCTGCAGGTAGCACAGAGTACTGCAGAAGATCTCTCATCACCCAAGACATAACCGATCATACTAAGAACTGTTTCCAAGTAATTTCAGCCTGAAGTGAACTATAAGTGCATTTGAAATTCTCCACAGACAACCACATGAATGCCTTATACCAGAAGCCTTAAAGCAAGTTAATAGATCACTGAATTCAATGGAAATTGCCTTTATGAAAGTTTTATATATACTGTCATTCTAAATAAAGTTAGGGAAAGTTACCTAATCTTTTGTATTCTTAACACCAGTAGTTGTTTTACTGCATGGCACCAGTACCTCTGTTTTGTCTTTCCTTTTGCTCATACTTTTTAAGATTACTATAAAGCAATGCCAACTGGGCCACCTCATTCTGTTTTTTCACTCTTTTTTCAGAGAGAAAGCTCCTTCAAGGGCAGTAAGTATGAACTACTTCAACCTGTAATTAAAGAATTAACTTCAACAGCCCTACAGCACTAATTTGCAAAATCGGCTAACACAAAAAAAAAGCCAAATTTTTCTTCCCATGGATTAAAAATTAAAAAAGAGAAATCATGTATTCCAAGAGTAAAGGAATAGTCATGGAAAGTATCATTTGGCACCAACATTAAACAAACATTGAACTACAAAGTTAAGCTGTTCTGATGCTTCAAATAACAGGCAAATTTTAGTCTCGAATTTGTTGAAAGGAATTTCAATTGAAAAGAAAAATATTTCATCAACAGCTTTTTTTTTTTTTTTAACTCATCATATTTCAATAAATTCAGAAACCTGTACTATGAAAAGTATTTATCCACTGAAATGTTTTAGTTTTGTCTTGAGGTACTTCATTCCACCAATACTGTTCATGGAAAAAAAGAAGCAGTATAGGGGAGAAAAAACACATTAAGATTACATTTATGCTAATAAAGTGAAGTACTGAAATGCACCATAACAGTCAAAATTTTACAAAACAACAAATTAAGTGAATTTATAGTTCATGTCATGGGTATCTGGGAGAACTTAATTTATTCTTAAGAGACTTAAACTGTAAATCTGGGAAACACAACACATCAGATGAGAGCCCCTCTCCCACACCCCACAGCCACATTTATGCATGTGTCCCAATGTACGGGCATCCCTGTCTTCCTCCCTGCAAATATTAGCCACTCCTACTAAATTATGTTTTGAAATGCCAAGAAGAGCAGTAGGTTCCCTGAAGAACACCTAGGATCGCACCATATGGACACTAACAAGTCATTACTTTCTCAAGAGCCATAGAAAGAGCAGGGGAAAAAAATAGTACTAGGCTTTTTAGCTCAACAGTATGGAACCTAATGTATGTCATTAAGAACATTATGTATGTCATTAGGAAGCTGCCTGGCTGAAGAGGCTCCTACTAGACATGACAGCTTGTGCAACCACTTCTGAGCTGACAACATGGCATTTCTTGCATTATGCTCTCAATTTTTCAGTGAAGCAGAGGAGGTGGAAAATACTCTATTATCTGCTTCTCTGTCCCTGAGACCGTACATTGTTCCTTGCAATAATTATCCTCACAGATTGAATTTATACATGCTTCACATGCAAATGCGTGTTGAGAAAGACAGATCATTCACAGAAGTGACATTTCAAGAAGGATACTGACAACAAAGGCCTGAAAAAGGACGGAAAGCTAACAATGACAATACGGTCTCCCATATCTGAAAGGTGCATTAGGTTTTAGAAGATCACTATCAAAAATCACCTCTGATATTCAGCAGCTCAGCAAGCAAGAGTTACAGCAATGTAGAGAGCCTCCAATGCTACTGAAACATGATAGGAAACTGCATCCATCTACTGATGACAGGTATTTAGTGTAAGAGCTAATAAAGTTCTTTTGCTTAAGTGAAATAAGAAGGTCAAGAAAGAAATATTCTCTTTTTGTGACTACTGTTCGGAAAAGTTTACAAAGAGTACTCCAAACCAGCCTTCAAATATAGATGTTTTACAGCTTGTCTTACAATTAGTTTAAAAAGTTCATTAGCAAGTTTACTTAATCTTAATTAGCATGACAACTTAGAAATGTTTTAGTCTTAAACAAATGTAACTAAGCCATTTCTAAATCCATCAAGAATTCAGTTCAGATGAAAAAAAGGTGACAAAAGACATCAACTCATAGAAGTCTATTGAAAGATAATGAAAATTTTATCAAATTTTAGAAATATTTACATTAACTGAACCAAATTGACCATGTTTATTGCATCAAAATATAAAGCTGTAACACAAGAGATGAAGTTCTGCAATAATTTCTTTAGATTCTCTTCAAGCCTTATCTCATATTCAGAGAATGTCATCTCAATACCTTGATTTATTTCAAAGACAAACAGCTCCCCCCAGAGCAGTCATCACTGCTATTCTGTAGATAAGAAATTACTTATGAAGTGTGACTCCCACATTCAGCCAGTGACTGAATCTGTATTACTCCTGAAATCCCATGATTCACTGATCCAAGCCTAAAAACTTGGCCCTGTTTCTGAACAAAATCAAATAGCGCCGATACAATAATTATGCAGTATGCTCCTTACCCCATCCAGAAGAGTGTTTGCTAGATGTGTGCGAAGATCTTTACGAAATGGAAATTCCAGATTAGCTACATGAAAAATTGAATTGTCTCTATCAATCATATAAACTTCATTCTTGCCATCAATCAGCATCATGTACCTGCAAGGGCAACGTTAAGATATTATACTTAAAGGTATAGCCTCTACATCTCTACTATTTTGATTTACAGTAAGTGCTAAAGAAAAAATAATCATGACATGTTATAAAAAAAGCATTTTAGAAGGAATTTTTTACAGTTAAAAGTTTAAAACCTATTGCTTCAGGAAAGTAGGTAATTTAGCTCAATGCAATTGTCACAAAGAAAATATTTCAAACATAAAAGTTCAGAACATACGTATAACTCTCTCAATGTCGCTGTGTCCAGACAAAATTATGCCTGAAAATCTATTAAAAATAACAGAGGTTTTATGCTGTGAGAAATATATGAGGCTAATTCAGTTAGATTCAGCTAGAAGATCTTTTGCTCCAGTTTTTGCTTTATTAAATGGACCAGAACTTTGCCTGGTATAAATCTGCAGAGTTTCATCCAAAAGAAACACATTTCCTGTCTATCTATTACTGGCTATCTGACACTGCAGTATTGCAAAGTCCCAGCCAACTATTGAGCCACTTTTCATTAAAACACTGACAAATTTAGCTAAGGTACATTCCTCTCACATTACACCCAAAGAAAACACCAAAGCTTACTACACTATCACCAGCAACTTGTGAGCTTGGTTCAGCTGCCAACATCTGAATTTTCTAGAAGTTTCTTTACATTATGACAGCATTTGGGAGCTCAAGTCATTGATTGAGACCTCTCTATGCTAATCCCACAGAAGGCTGCTCTAGAGGGGTAACATTCTATCTACGATAAAAAACAGTGAAGAAGGAAGAAAAGAATAGTGGGGGGAAAAAAAAGACAAAAAACACCAGAGACACAAAACAGCATGATAGCTGTAACACACCAGAGTTACCTTTGTAAAGTTTGCTTTGATCTTTGCAACAAGAGTATTAAAGTAGTTTCAGGAAGAATAACAGAGCAGCTAGCTGAACACACAAAGGTCTTCTCAAACTTCTGCAGCAGCCTAGGAGTGCACAGCCTCTGACTGGGGAAATAAACTGAAGACATCTCAGCGGAAACCAGTATTCGAGGCCAGATGCAACAAGTCAACATCTTAGTGGTGAATGAGAAGCAATAAATGCTGAGTAATATATGCTGAGCATATTTCTTCACTATGAGGCCCTGGATCAGGTTGCACAGAGAAGCTGTGGCTGCCCCATTCATGGCCAGGGGTTTGGTACCAGATGATCTTTAGGTCCCTTCCAAGCCAGGCCATTCTATTATTCCATGATTTACATAGCACAAGCAGGTGAAAGTGAAGAATAGCAGCTTGAATCTGATATGGTAAAGGAAGATAGAAACTACCATGGGACTTAGAGGTTCAGCAAAGCAAAATAGACCAGAAAAGTGCCTTTTTGGAACCAACAAAACGTAACTGCACTTAGTAAGTTAAGTGAAAAGAGCAATAAAGTTATCAAGGTGTGATTGAATAATCAGACAGGAAACACCATGGCTTACCAGCAATGCAAGAAATAAGCATGAGACAAAGCTGACATGGAGACTCAAAAGTAAGTCTAAGTTCAGTGTCTCAGTCAGACCTAAGTTATGTCAGTTTTACCAACTAACACGTGAGCTGCTGTGATGGAATTTATACCTGATCATGCTGTAAACTGTGTTGTTGGCCTACACCAAAACAAAGTGTGACTCAGAGCTCAGCTTTCTTTCACTGATCCTTTCATTTCACCTTACACATAGATGTGCTAAAAACACAAGTCTTACTATAGAAGTTCTGAAGTTTTCTGAAAAGTCAAAATAACAGAAACCCCAGAAGAGAAGGAAACTAGGAGCACTAGCAACCATCAAGATAGTTCAACAGTTATAAAAGTTCACAGTATTTAACATACTTGAATAGCCTCTGATGTAGATAGGGTAGGGTCACAATCTTTCCGGAGCAACTAACCCATTTGTATTGCAGTGCAGTTTCTTTCACAGCACGGAACAGGGAAACACTTGATTAAAAGTAAAAGGTTCTAGAAGTTTCACCATCCATACCAGAGTATTTTGAAATAAAGCTAGCATATTTTGAAGACTCATTTGGCAAAGAACTTGTAAAAGTCTTTGGATATATATGGTGGGGGGGAACAGTACTTTTCATAGTTTAGCCATTTCTCTTTAGAAAGTCATGCTTATGAGGAAATAAAAGCTATCAGTAGTCTTCTCTAAAATTCACCACTGCTCTTACAAGTAATGCCCACAGGACCCCTACTGTCAAAACAAATAAGACAGCATCCTCCAGAAGCCCTACAGGCAAATTGTCTATGCCGGCAGCTGTCCTGTTGTCTGCACAGATCCTGCCTCTAGAAATCAGTAGATCTGAGTACAGCAGGACAGTACCACCCATGCAGCTTAAATTAATACCTTCTTTCAATATCATGACTATAATCATAATTCACTATGGATCAGCTCAACTAACATTTCTCTACACACAAGATGTGTACTTCAAGATGTTACATAGCAGTTGCAAAAAAAGAGAAAGACATATGAGCAGAAAACCTCAAGTCAGTGGGGGTGAGTAGATTAAATCAATGCGACATTAGGAGGGCTGAAAGCTGCACATGAGATGCTTTGTGAAAAAAATAATTCAATAAACATTCAAGCAGATAACTGGGCGCCAGTTCTTCAGAAGCAAGAATAATCTACAGACAACATTCATTTTTCAAGCCATATAAATTTATTCAAAACTAAAACTAAGAAGCATGTTGTGTTTTTCTCAAAAATTAAAGAAACCATGAGGAGGGAAGAAGAGGTGCATAAGTAACAGAAAAAGAATTTCTGAACGCTACTTTTAATTTTATAAACAAGTTTAATTGGCCATCTCCACACTCCCATATTCACCACTGGCCTAAACACATGCTTTTATTGTAACTTGCTTCAATGACAAAAGAGCATCTGATGCTTCAAAAGATCTAGCACTCAAAAAACCCCATATTTGCATCATCATTACGAATGTGGTACAATAAGAGATGCTTTGAAAGAAAGATTAAAAAAAAAAAAAAAAAACCCTAAACACAAAACCACCAACAGTTTAAAGCTTTGTTTTCAGCCACCTAAAACATCTACAGGTTCAGACACCATACAGAAGATTTCATCAAAAGCTATTACTCAAACATCAAACCTAAGGCTAACACACCATCACCTTCTCTAGATCTTTCAGTCAAAACAAATTACTTAAGAGTTGGTAGCAGGATAGCCTACCAGCCACTAGTGGTGAGATTCCTCCTCTTCAAACCATAGCACTAACGTTACATCTCTTCTCCCATGATTTCTCTCTTTCTCTTCTTAAAATTTGTCACTGTTTATACCATAAATTCTAAATGACAGGGACAATGGTAAGTCTCACAACTGCACATAAAAGATTTCTAATCAAAGATCACCAGGAATCACAATTATATCTTACTTCAAAGAGCTACTGAGAGACAGCATGTGCTTACTTTGAAGACACAAAAAAAAATTGGTTTCAGGACAATAAATTACCTTAATGTAGACCCATTTATCATGGATCTCGTGCTAATGACGTATTTGCCTAACTTAGAAGCTGAACAAGTTCTCTGCACAAGAAAGACATGAGACCGACCCAGTATTTCTGTTTCAAAAGGGTTTTGTTTGTTGGTTTGTTTTTTTCTTTTAAACTGAAAGCCTGCAAACACCTCCACCCCTCAAAGTAATAAACTACTGATAAAATCTCTGAATGTAGTCCAAACAACTCAGTTGGTCAAAAAACTAATTATTATCACCGTAAGACTTCAAGAAATCTTGCAGACTGCTGATCAGTACATTTCTGAGTATTATTTGGATGTGCCCTGACTGGTTATATTTTAAGAAGTTAATTAAGGTATTAGCGACTAGAATAGAGAGCGCACCTCTGGGCAATACCACATAGGCAAAGAAAGAACAATGATTTCTCAAACACATTCAATAGGAACTAAAGCAGCACATAGGAGCTTAACTGTCATGCAGTGTATTTCATTATGTGAGCACTACTTGCTATTACAGCTGTACATTTATTACTAATTATCTATTGTGTGAGCACCCAAAAGCGCCAATTAGTAACCAGGCCCTATTGTATTAGATTCTGCATAAATACACAAGATGACATGGCCCTGTATCAGATGGCTCAATCTGAATTTAAAACAAGACAAGTGAATAAAAGAGCAAGAGTAGAGCACAAATAAGAGCAATAACAGAACTGCTCATTCACCTTTGATAGCTATACATGAAAACGGAGAACCCTGTTTGAATGACAAACATCATCTTTCCAAACTGCCAATCCAACTGCTACAAACCGGTTAGTTTCCATTGCAAGAGAAGTTCTGACAAGCAAGTTAAAGAAAAAAGGGTCACGGTGTCCACACAGATTAATCTCAAAAGCAGATAAAATATCTAGTCACAGAAATGTTAAAGTCTAAAGTTTCATTAGAAGCTACTTTTCATTCACTTCTGCTCCCGAGGCAAAGTCTGTTATCAATTCTAATTGGACATTAGTATTAACATGATAATCCAGGAAATAGGAAGAAAATTGCATTAGCAAAGAGTTACAGCTCTTGGCATTAGACAGGCAGGTCTCCAAATCACCTATCAGAGTATTAACAATTTTAATCTTTAAATTTTAAAAAATATCAACCACTAAATATCATCTTAAAAGTTTTCTCTTCAGAAATCAATTATTTTTAGGGTACCCAAATACAGGCTCATTTGCCTCCACATATATCCTGTTCCTGCAGCCCACATCAGTTGGGCCCAAAATACATGCTAGAAGAATGATTTTATTCAACTTCCATTTTCAGTTTAGATTGGTTTAGTGGTGGTAGTGGGGTTTTGCGTTGTTGTGTTTGTGGTTTTTTTGGTTTGGTTTTTTGGGTTTGGTTTGTTGGGGTTTTTTGTTGTTTTGGGGGGGGGGGAGGGTTGGGTTTTGGGGGGGGCGGTTTTTTGGGGGGTGGTTTTTTTGTTGGGGTTTTTTTTTTTTTTACACAGTTCTGAAGCTGACTCAAGCTACATT